AAATCCGAATCACATAATAACATGTACCCGGCAGATCTGTCCGGCTACCATTTTTTGAGGGCGACGCTAGGGTCGTTTATACCTACCTCGCTTGTCCATTTGCAAATGCATTTCACTAGTTCATACATTTGAGTAGACAAAATGCATGCACATACACAAATAAGATAGTTGCATAGGTATATTAAACTGGTTGTCATATATCGCTTCCTTTTTTAGTCACAAGGACTGATCATCCATCCAGATCCAAGATTTCACACATCCACATTTGAATCGCATGTAAACCATACACTACGTTGTACGTTGTACAAACTCCGTTCCTGGTACATACATATGTAACAAACCCAAAGTTATAGAACGATATTTTTTCGGATCACGCAACATTTTTTGTTGCAGCACATCTTATGTACGTAAGTTATACAAAACTTACTACAAATGGCATGACTTTTAACATCCAATTCTCTTATTTATTATAATTAAAAAAATGATCGAATATATACAATCTAAATATATCGTTCACCATATATAGTGCTAAATTTTAACCACTACTTTTTGTTGAAGCATTTTACTAGCAGTAGAAAAAGCAGCAAGGTAAAATGGTGCAAAACGTAAACGTTATTTGTTCAGGAATTGCAGGATTCATATCAATGGCTTGTTGGATAGTGGTTGGAATTCCGTAAGTAGTTAGTAGCATAAAATTATTGCGATCAATTTCAACAGTGAACGAAATTTAGAAACGAATTTGTTCTTTCGCATCAGACAACTTTATGAAAACTATAGACGAAAGTCAGGGGACTCAGTGTCATTATTTTTCATCTATATATGGATTATAGCTGACATATTTTGTTGGGTCGGTGCTGTTTTACAAAATTTAATATTAACAGTGGTGAGTCATAGTTAATCATCCTACAAAATATCGATCTGTCTCATAAAAAAATTCATTTTATGTTAATTTGTAATCTTAAAATTATAGATTATAATTGCAATATATCATAACATAATCAGTTTGGCAATTATGCTACAAATCTATTATTATCGTGTTCGTGAAAAGTATAGAAAATCTGACTCGGACAAAGGAGTAACTCCTCTACAGCCAAAGCGTATTGATTCACAAACATCAGTATATCTATCAAGGAATAAAGAATTCCTGGAAATTTTAATAGGACTCGTTGGGGTCTGTGTTGCTGGAGTTATCATGTATTATATCTCTACTCTATTTAGAAAGGATGAAAAGGACGATCAACATGACATGAAATTACTACCACAGATTTTTGGTTGGTGTAGCGCTATTTTCTATCGTAAGTTTTCTTAATTATAGATGTGAAAATCATTAAATAATTAATACAGTACACAAATGTATAATTTAATTGACATGGAATCTTAGTTAGTGCAAGAGTTCCTCAAATTATTCAAAACTATAAGTCACGATCCACTAAAGGATTGTCACTAGCTATGTTCTGCTTTTGTTTTTTTGGAAACGTTGCAAATTGTTCGGTATGTATTATAAGTAGTAATTTTTATGGTGACTTAAAATATCCGTAATCAACGAATTACATATATGTTTGTATATTACAGTCAATACTACTTTACTCAATGGAGACCAAGTACTTACTCGCAAACATTCCTTGGTTGGTAGCAAATGGTGGAGATATATTTCTTGACTTTTTTGTAAGCTTTTAAGCATTTTTATCTATCCTAAAGTTTTAGTATCCATGATATTCTACAAATTTCTATATGCTTAATTCTTTTTAATTTTATACTTTTTTTAAAAAAAATAAGATTTTATCTCAGTTTTACTTTTACAGAAAAAATTGAATTTAATTCAAACTGATCTTTTTAATTCCAACTACTGTGAGCCCGATTTTCGGGGTCACGGGTGCCCGAATCGGGGTGACGATCCTTACCCGATCCAAGGTCACGCGAAAAGTAACAGAAATGTTACTTATGGTACTTATGGTACTTATGTCACTTCTGCTACTTCGGCCACATATGCGTTAAATGACATATCGGCCTTTTATTACATTTAGTGAATATATGGAGTATAAGGAATATCTGGCATTTATGGCATAAATTGACTACGAATGTAAATAAGACGTTTATTATAAATAAAGGGCATTTCCGCCCCGGGAAAGAATAACAGGTCGTCCCTTATACAAATAAATTTTTAGTACCAATAAATATCCGATCCATAATAAAATATAAGTGCTCTAATAAACTAATAAACCATCGTTAACCCCACCATTGCCCATATCGTTCGTTCATTAATAAACCACTAACTCGCCATTGACGACTCGCCGCAAGTCACGTGACAAGACCGATAACGTAACCGAAGAGTTCCAACCCCGATTCGACGTAGTGTAATCCCGGGTTGAGGTAGACAAGAGAAGACTAGATTAGTAAGGGAAGAGATTGCAGAAAAGGATTAGAAGAAAAGAGACAAGTACTTACCTACGGCTATACCATCAGCCAAATCTAACACGCCTATTTCGACTTAGCCGCCGTAGGTTACGCGAGAGTTGGATTAGTTTAGCGACAGACTCGCCGATTTCCGGAGTCACACTACATACGTACGTAACATACATTTACCTAAAATTCCAACTTTATAGAAACCGTGTAAAGCTGGTCGAGATGAGTGAATAACTTTCTTGAGAATAAATTTGTGTACAAACGATTATAATTATATCCATATTCTCAATGTTTTCAGATTTATGCATTAGAAGTTTATTTACACTTGTAGATCTCATAAGAATGTCAAGCAATGATTACAATGAAAAGATCTTTCATTTTTTTGACTACCTATAAAGTCATTAACAATGGGCGTTCTCAAATGCCTTAAGTATCATTGAATAACTCTTACTAGCGTAAAATACTTTACGGTCAAACGACTTTATTATCGTAATGAATACTTAAATAAACACCGTAGTTTAGCAAAGTTTGTTAGTAAAAAAATAATACGCGAGTTATAATCTCAATTTACAAATATTCTAAGCTTACATTCTAGGCTTACAATTAATTAGGGATGTTACGGTCTGGCAAGGACCACGGTCCGGACCAGTCTTTTGAACCGGTCTAAGCAGTCCATGGTCCGTAAGTTAGGACTGGTCCCAATAGGTCGGTCCATAATAAATTCTGTGATTGTAATTGTAAATATATGCAATTCTATTTCGAAGATCATAACCTTGAAGCAGAAAACATATTGCAATAGCGTAATAACAGTAATAGCGAAGAATTTTAACTTGCAGAAAGGTACATACGTACGTACATACATATTTAATATCAGATATGTATATGTCAAATCAATTATTTATCGCAATTAAGTAATAACTTTGTAATCCCAATTTAAAACCATTTAATATCATGTAAACAAGTTTTATAGTATGTACGTATGTACAGTACATTCTAAAATAAATGATATTAAACTTGTTTTCAAAACAAACTTTAGATAACATTGTAAGCACAATTCTTCAATCGGAACCTTGGTTTTCGCGTATAATGTTTAAGTAAACATATAATAAAATTACTTATAGGTATAGTACAGGACTTGCACATTTGTGATCTGACAAAAGAATGTATGAAAAACGTTCATAAATTAGAGTTTGGAACCGGCTTTATTTTTCATATAGTAAAACCAATTAAAACTGGGTTTAACATATGAAAATAAAACCGGTCTCAAACTCTATCATATACGTGTTACGATAATCTAAATTCTCCATTCCTATTGGCTGCAGATAGACCGATCCTTGGACTGGACCGAACTAGGATCGGTTCGTGGACCAGTTTATGAATTTTGGTCTGGTCTGTGGTCCGCTACTCGGACCCAGTCTTTGGAACCAAGACCGGACCAGGACGGACCATAACATCCCTACAATTAATTTAGTATTCAAAAAGATCGCACATGTACCCTTATCATACAACATCCGAGTATTAGCGATCTAAACTACATTTGATAAAATAACAATTAAGCAAAATTTAAGTATCAATTATAGTCAATGAGTATCGTCACATTTATTAGCTAATCACATAGAGAATAACGGTTGTGCATAATTTGAAGATTCATTTGTTATCAAAAATATAATCATAGTTGTGCTCGATTACGATCATGAGCTAATCACGTCAAGGTTGAGGCCTGTTACAACGTACGATATATATTACTATGCGATTACTTTACTGGATATTTATTTATTTAACTTTTCTGGGCTTTTTTAATTGGTTGCATAATTATTCTGTTCTTGGTTTTAAGATAAGTCTGACAAGCCTTCATAATATTATAGACGAAATAATGGTAATACATGTAATACATGATGATATATCAGCAAAGCTAACGTAACTTTCTGATTTCGATTAGCAATTTTTATCTCTAATTCTTTTGTATTTGTTATTCGTATTCCGACAAAAAGTAAAGTTGGATTCCATTCCAAAAATTCTTTACTTGTTAGAAATTGGGCCTATAAATAAGCAAAATGGCTCATGTTTTTATAAACGTTTGTTATAAAAATTAGTTTGATTATACTGTATAAAGAAGGTTTGACTCTATGGATAGTGACTGTATGGATGTCGGTCACTGGTTGAAAAAAAACAAATCTTCACCAAGCTTATATTGAGAGATTAATATATATAACGCATTATAAATATGAATAAATTGCAACATGATGAATTTATAAAACTTGAAATTATGTATTAGCATTAAATATGAGTAAATTAGGTGATTAAATCAATGATTAAATCAATGCTTAAATTAATATCATTAATTAGTATTCAGCATATACAGGCTTAGTTTAGAGAGGATCACTGTGTATATATTGAAAATATAAGAAAAATATATATAGTAATATGTGTAAGAAATAGATAGTTACAGTAATGGTTTGAAAAACATGCCCCGTAAATTACAATTGTGCAAGACAAAAAATTATAATTTCCTTGGATAATCATTGATCAATTTCCAAAATATTCACAATATTAACATCCTTTTTTAACTTGATATCTTTTGGTCCAAAAAGTCCAAACCTAATTCTAATTTTAACTTTATGATACACACTAATATTTTGTCTTTTAGTGGTCCATTTAACTTCATTTTTAAATATATCAATTTTACAATTGTATGATCAGACATTATTTAATATTACTTGAATTTGGTTTCCATATATAATTCTTTCCTGAATATAACGTTCCGAAATTTTTGTATTTCCTAATGCTTTTAGTTGATGATATTCTTTCAATCCAATAAATATTTCTCTTATATTTAAATTTATTTTTAAAAATTTAATTATTAATTTCACAATAATAGGATTGTTAGGCCCAAATGTATTATAATCCATTGATATATCATAACTCAATCCACATTTCAAAGCTTTTGAATTATCCCATTCTGTCCATCTGACAGTTTCTGGCCTTGGCATTGGACTATATCGTGTAATCAAGCATTTACATTTAATTTTCTTTTGAGAGCTTTGGAATTTTAAAAAATTGCTATTCCTTATAATTCTTGCTTGCACTTTATAGTAGATACGACAAGTTTTCATATCCATTGATTGTGGTATACCATAAGAGTTAACACCTAAATCCATGGTTGATGGTAAATCATTAGGTAATGGAAACTGAAAAGGATAGTTTATTTTTGTAATATCTTTGAATAGTTCTTCCTTTAATTCGTTCTTTCACAGTAATAAAGTTTGGTATAGAATTCGTTCTTTGTGTTCAAAAGTAGAATTGCCAAGAGTAAAATTTACATTCTCAGTACCTGTAATAAGTACTTCAATTTGCTTAACTTTCAGAGGTTTTGGTTCAGGAAATTCAAGGAACAGATTGCCGGCTATATATGAATCTGTTAGACCCAAAAGTCCATGTTGAAATTTATTGCTACCAGTTAAATAAGTAAACCACATCTTTCGACTGGCTTTAGTATATGAGGATTTTGAAGGCTTAAGTAGTGTCATTTCGCGATATTTAAAAAAATGTAAAATTTAAAGATCAAAACTAAACTAGATTAAAAGATAGATAAAAATTAACACTAGAGTGTAATTTATACTAAAATTTATTCAAAGAATGATTTTATAAACAAAATTAAGATTTTGAGTTATAGTGTACAATGGATGTCAATAGAAGTTACTTTATATCAAAAAGTATAATTTTTTCGAAAACTTCATGGTTCAACAAATTGATATGGCAATATAGGTATATAAACGTGAAATTATGTGTTTATCCTTCACGACATTGAACATTCGTCTTATATAAAATTTGCCTAACTTGTGTGCTTGCACAATATACCGATACAGGTTATGTTCTAATTGTCCGAGAGAGTATGTTAGCAAATTCTAAATTTTGATTGGCTAGAACAGGTGCAACGTAAAAAAATCAAACAATCCATGACCAATGTTTATTGGCTAGAGCAGGTGTAACATAAACCAAAAATCCTTGAATAGATCCCATTTTCCTAATTTAAACTGTGTTACGGCGCAAATCATTCAAGAAATCTGCCAGGTTTTGTGACATGGGGTTAACGTTCCTGATCGAGTTACGTAACACCTGATTCTTGAGATCTGATTCGTGGATCTGAACTTGCTGGCACAGATTTCTTGAGTGCTATTTTATGATGTGCAGCCTTGTGAATCGGCACATTACCAATTTTAACCAAAACGGGGTTGGCCAAAGCGGAGATAATTCAATATATGATCTACATACTACCCTACTGCATCAAAAAACCTCACTCCGCTTTAGCCGACCCCCCAAAAGGAAATCGTCTGTTAAAATATTTTATGCTTGTAATGCACGTTACAGACCAGTTACGATCTCTCGCATCTTTTTTATCAAACGCAAGTTGTATTTAACAATACGTAGTTTTGGTACTTAGATTCATATCCATCTGTGGTTTAATAATTCAAATTAGTAAATATAAATATTTTTTTAAAAAGCCATTACACTGATCATCACATCACGTGAAATTACGCAATACATTGTAAGCAGCAGGACTGTAATTCCGGAAGGAGGCGATCAATGTGGCTCAGTAACGAATTAACGTCTACCTAAAATGGGATTCCCGGGATTAAAGGTCCTAAAAGTAGTTTAAGATTATTAGCGGATATAAGGGCAATACGAGAAATATATAATTAAAGTGATATATATTAATTAAGGGCTTTAAGTAATATAGGACATTAAAGGGGTATATTTCGGATAATATGTTTAACACTTTTGGGAGGACATATGCAATAAACCATTATATAATAAAGGCTTCGAGCCCTACGAGAAAGGGAGTTCGTGCTTGTTATAAAATTTGAACCTAATAATTCCCTGCTTTCACTACATTATAATACCTACGATCATAAATTCCCCACTCGCCAAATCTAACACGCCTAGTGATGTGCCACGTACTGTACTATACGTACTGTACTGTACGTACTGTACTATACGTACTGTACTGTACGTACTGTACTATACGTACTGTACTGTACGTACTGTACGTACTGTACGCTAAAATTTTGACAGTCATTTTATAAGTTCTGAAGTTTAGGCCATAACATTCATAAGTTCCTAAATATTCCGAAACCATTACGGACAATTCCGAATCCATGGTATAAAAAAATCCTACTATACGTACTATACGTACTGTACGTACTGTACGTACTGTACGTACTGTACGCTAAAAAAATCCGAGCATCATATAAATGGCACATCACTAAACACGCCCTTTTCGACTAAGCCGATTCGTAGGTTACGCGACGTAGCCGTTACAAGGTGTCAGCATCATTTGTTTACCAGCACTAACAAATCAGCCTAAACTATACTATCACCTAACCCTAATTTAAGCCGAGTGTTTAATCATCTGATGTGATAACCACGAATATATCACTGGGTCCGTTAAGGGAATCAAAACTTGTTATTTATCACATATATCACATATATTATGTGATAGTCTTCGGCAACTGAAAATTGAATTTCGATTGGCTAAAAATGATGATATTTGAATAAAATTGAATTACTCGTCCTTGTTCTAACGCAAAGGTGAAATTAAGCCAGAAAATTAACCTATTTATATAAGTCCCTGGACAGGACCTTTTTTTAAATCACAAAAAACGCAATAATTAGTAATCGTTATAATCTTTTTATATAATAAAGATTAATACCATGGAGATATAAAAAAAGGACCTATCCAAGGACTTGGTTTAAACCAATAAAGCCCTAAATAGGTCACGTAATTAGTCTTCTCCCCATAAATGGACGATGTTTATTTGTAGATCAAATCAAATTTATGCAGTAAATAACAACAACGATATATATATATTTTACCATTGCAGTATAGAATAAACTGTTATTATATAACGACAAGCCTCATTACAGTATGTTTCATATAAATTTACAATACAGTACACAAAAAAACAAAATTGATGTAACCTGCTTTTTTGCTGGTAATTTCTTTTTTAATCAGAGAACTGGCCAATAAATTTTTCGACTATGAAAGTCGAGGCGGAAACTACCTTACGTAAATGGAAATCTCCGGCTTTTTACAATAGGTTTTGTGCTCTGGATAGAACCATGAATAAAACAGGTAAAACCAAGATATAACATAAAATACATACGAAACAAACCCAAATTTATAGAACGATATTTTTTTTTGGATTACACAACATTTTTGTTGCATCACACATTTAGGAATCATAAGACAAAAAGTCGCGAGAACAAATAATGATAATTGTGAACACTATTAATCTATACTCCTCGTTGTCTTACAAGTTGCACTCAGGATTTTTGTGGGAAAAAGACAAGCAGACGTAGGGAAATTCAGAAAAACAAAACTGTTTATAGCAGCACATCTTATGTACGTAGGTAAGTTTTACAAAACTTACCACAAATGGCATGACTTTTAACATCCAATTCTCTTATTTATTATAATTAAAAATGGTCGAATACATACAATCTAAATATATCGTTCACCATATATAATGGCTCAGTTTGAACCATACCTTTTTGTTGAAGCAGTTTTCTAGCAGTAGAAAAAACAACAAGAAAAAAAAAACGAAAAATGGAACAAGATGAAAATGTTATTTGTTCTGGAATTGCAGGATTCGTATCAATGGCTTGTTGGATTCTAGTTGGAATTCCGTAAGTAGTTGGTAGTATAAATTATTGCGATCAATTTCAACAGTGAACGAAATTTGTAACCGAATTTGTTCTTTCGCACCAGACAACTCTATGAAAACTATAGACGAAAGTCAGGGGACTCAGTGTCATTACTTTTCATCTATATATGGATTATAGCTGACATATTCAATTGGCTCAGTGCTATTTTACAAAATTTAATACTAACAGTGGTAAGTCATAGTTAATCATCCTACAAAAATATTGATCTATCTCATAAATAATTTCATTTTGTGTTAATTTGTGATATTAATATTATAGATTATAATTGCGATATATCATAACATAATCAGTTTGTCAATGATGCTACAAATCTATTATTATCATGTTTGTGGAAAGTATAGTAAATCTGACTCGGACAAAGGAGTAACTCCTCTACAGCCAAAGCGTATTGATTCACAAACATCAGTGTATTTATCAAGGGATAAAGAATTCCTGTAAATTTTAATAGGACTCGTTGGGGTCTGTGTTACTGGAGTTTTCATGTATTATATCTCTACTCTATTTAGAAAGGATGAAAAGGAAGATCAACATGACATGAAATTACTACCACAGATTTTTGGCTGGTGTAGCGCTATTCTCTATCGTAAGTTTTCTCAATTATAGATGTGAGAATCATTAAATAATTAATACAGTACACAAATGTATAATTTAATTGACATTGAATCTTAGTTAGTGCAAGAGTTCCTCAAATTATTCAAAACTATAAGTCACAATCCACTAAAGGATTATCACTAGCTATGTTCTGCTTT